AGGGCCCAAAACTCCCAACCCCATGGCCCCCCAGCATCCGAAGTGGCCCCAAACCCTGAGGTTTAAAATCCGGACCCCAGATAGGGGCCTAAGCAGAATTGGTATTTGGGGCAGTTTATGTGACATGTTATCTAGGGATCAGGACCGAAACCCTTGCGCTATGGTTTTTTCGTTGAGCTAAGTTACTTAGGCATCAGGCATTCGGGGTTACAATGCTCAAGGGTTCAGAAGCTGTAGGTTTTGAGTTTCTTTGTCCTGTTGGGGGCTCGACACGCGCACCATAGCTTGGCTCTGCCCGGCGAATTCGAGCTGCAAGCTCCAAAACCTTGCGTTCAGCACGGGCTCGGGCTCTACACGAGGGCTAGCGTTGTGGGATCTGAAGGTCTGAGGGATTAAGGGCTTGGGCTTAAGGTGAAGCCAGTTTAGGGTAGCACCTCGGCTGCAAAGCCCTAAGGATCGGCTCTCGAAGTTAAACTAGGACCCGGAGTAGGCCCTTATTTCCAGTTTTTTGGGTTGGGATTCCCTTATAATCCCCTTAAAACCAAAAAGGGCACCCTTTTATTCTAGGTTACTCCCCCCCCCCAGTCCATAGTAAACTAGGGTGTAGGGTTTAAGTTTAGGGTTCAGCAGTCGCTGCCCTGTTGTCTTTGAGACACGGCTCGGTCTGCGACCCCGAGGTGACATGTTCAGGATTCTGCTTGCAGCCTTTACACCGACACGGTTGTAGCGCTCCTGATCGGGAACGTGAAAAGTAAGCCCCCTAAAACGCTCCGAATTTGCTGAGACAGACGAGGCTGCGAGACAAGTTTGTGATAATTGTAGATTGGGGAGGTGACGGTACCGACAAACGCCAGCCATAAGCACATGTCACGATGAGTCTGTCAGGTTGCATGCAGCGCTTCGCATGTTCAACTTCATACTAGAATGGAGACCTGCTGTGCGCCAGAAGTTTCGGTTCCATAAGAAGCCGATCCGCCAGAAAATTGGCTAAAGCTTCCTGACAGAACCTAAGCCCGAGGCAAAAACCAAAACACCGTCCCACACTCGCACGTACCGAGCCTTTTGTAGGTCCTTGCGAAGAGCTTACTTACTTACGTAAAGAAGCCTGCGAGGCCCTATTAAGCCTTATAAAGCCAAAAAATAGCAGCGTCTCAAGCCCTATTAAGTTTGTAGCTGTAGGAGCCATTGCTGCATGCCGCAAGCTTTGTGGCTCTTCATCCGAGGCCGCGTGGGTTGAGTTTAACAGCGCGGTACCTTGAGCTTGGGGGCTTTCGGCCTTGGATTTCGATTTTGGGAGAAAGTTTCTGTTTCCCTTGGTTGCAAAACATATAGTTCAAGGGATGGTCGATTTAGGTGCACGCGTACCGCTGCCTTTGCATCTCGGATGTCGGATGCACATAGCGAGGTGATAAAGACATGCCCCTACAATCTCGTTCATATAGCCGACTCTACTCGCACACGCACACACACGCACCCGCACCCGCACCCGCACGCGAAAGCGCACGCGAAAGCGCACGCGAAAGCGCACGCGAAAGCGCACGCGAAAGCGCACGCGAAAGCGCACGCGAAAGCGCACGCGAAAGCGCACGCGCACGTGCACGCGCACGCGCACGCGCACGCGCACGCGCACGCGCATCCACCCACACACACACACACACAGAGAAACACACACACACACACACAAACACACACACACACACACACACACACATGCACACACACAGAAACACACACACACACACACACACACAGAGAAACACACAGCACACACACACACACACACAGACACAGACACACACACACACACACACACACACACAAACACACACACACACACACACACACACACACACACACACACACACACACGAGTGTGGGAGAGAAACACAGCTTTTTGACAGGGTCGAGCTGTAGTCGGGGTATGTGAAACCACCTATACCACCCTTCGCGTGGGACGGATAGACGGTTAAAGACTGGGCCGAGGGCCGAGGAATCAAAGAAGAGAGTGGTCGAAGAGGCCAAAAGAAGGCTCGGGTGAAGCTTCATGAGGAGCTGCCTCCCCAAACAGGCAGCATCTGAAATGTTGCTCCAGTTGCGCGATCCGTCCCAACGACCCAATGTCATTGCCTTACGATTAAGGTTAAAGCTGTCTGGGGGGTGGGGGTATCGGGGGGTCCGTTTGCATCTTGTTGCTAGAACGACAGCAGTCATAGTTGGGACAATCCATTGCTCGACGTACCGACTTCCCCCCACACAAGCCGTTTGAAATCTCAGGCACCTCTACCCACCCCCAGGCAATACTTGTACCCTGGCTTGGACGGCTGCAAGAAGGAAACCGATTCGGGGAGAGAACCGCAGGAAGAGGGGAAGAGAGAGAGAGAGAGAGAGTGAGAGAGACGCGCGGGACCGGGGCGCGCATTAGCGCGGGCAAAAGAAAGAAAGAAAGAAAGAGAGAAAGAGAGAAGAGAGAAAGAGAGACAGAAGCAGAGAGAGAGGGAGATGGAGAGAGAGAGAGAGATAAAGTGATAGAGCGTGGAGTACTTGGCAACTGACATGACATGAGGCAAAGGGCACCCACCGAAACATTTTTTCTACGTGGCATCTCTATCCTGAAGCCCTTAACATCTACACTTCAAACTCCCGTACATGCCTTTGAATTTTAATTAATCTTTTCCGGGCTTTCGCAGTGACGTTGCACTTCTCTGTCTGTGATCCAGAGATTCAAGCTGTCAACCGTCCAAGGTTTCTTATAACCTGATGAATGAAGACTGACTCGCCAATGTCCACAAGCACGAACACAGCTTCCTGAGCAAGTAGGTCCCTGACCTTTCAGAGCCTCTGAGTAGGCCAGCTTGAAGCGAAGCCTCAAACCCTGCAACCCTCAAACCACACAAGTTGAACCTCTTGAAACCCTAAACCCTAAACCCTAAACCCTAAACCCTAAACCCTAAACCCTAAAACCCCAAACCATCCCATCAAGGCGAGGATGCGAAATCGCGTTACATCCTCGCACTGTCGGCCGAGCCAATGGAACCCGAGTTCGAGGCGGCCGGGGGCTGGGGGCTGGGGGCTGGGGGCTGGGGGCTGGGGGCTGGGGGCTGGGGGCTGGGGGCTGGGGGCTGGGGGCTGGGGGCTGGGGGCTGGGGGCTGGGGGGGCTGGGGCGGGGGCTGGGGGGGGAAGCAAGTCATGAAGGGGGTTAGGATTTAAGGTTTTAGGGCTTGGGGAGTGAGGGTTGATTATATTTAGGTGCCAGGGATGTTGGTTTTACAGGTTTTATGGGTTCAGGGTTCATGGATTGAGGGTTGAGGGTTTGGGTTCATAGGGTGTTTCACTTTGGAAGGTTCAAATTAGTGGGCCAGCGATGCTTGGATCAACGTGTCATGGAGGTGCTTTATGGCACATGGTCCCACATTGGGTTGGCCGGGTAGGCCCTTGCGATGTTTATGTTTTCCCTTATTGGGTGTAAAGGATCACATCTAGGAATAGTTTTTGCTGACAGTTTCGAGCCAACCTAGCGCACCATTTTGCGAGCCAGTTGCAGTTGCAGTTGCCTCGACCGCAGACCACTGCACCAGGATTGAGCGTGCAGGGTATTGGGGTTAGATGAAAGTGAACCCTATAAACCCTAAACCATAAGCCCTAAAAACCCTAAAACCCCTAAACACCCCTAAACCCTAAAACCCTAAAGGGTATATAGTTTCCTCAGCCTTCAGCGCCACAGCTTCGAGGAGCTCTTCCGGTATGGCATTTCACACTTTCAACGCCTGCCCAGAGTTCTGAAAGAAGCCTGGCTTGATAATTTAGGGTCTAGGGTTTAGGGTTTTGCCGAGGGTTTGAATGAAGTGCTTGGAAGGGTTTAAGGTATGTTTCAGACGTTTCAGGGAAGTTTGTCCAGCAGTGTGGGTTTCTGTTTTGAGGTCCTCCGCTCGCACATGCTTCACAGCCTCTCCCCCGTTGTCTCTGAACATCGGTAGGCTCTTCCGTCCCAAATGGGGTTTAATGGGTTAGGGGTTCAGGTTCAGACTTCAAGGTTTAGGAAAGAGGGTTCGGAAATATGTGTTAGAGATTCATCTGTAGGAAAATCCCAAGCCCAAAACCCAAGATGTAGAAAAGCCGTCACTGTTTTGGAAATACAGGCCCTCACCTCCCACCCGCCCCCCCACCCGGCCTTGTGGGGTCAGTCGACCCGGTCGCCGGATGCGGTTCCTGTGGCCCGTGCTGTCCCAAGATAGAGAAGCCGGACTAGGCTGTCGCAGATGACTGGCCTGGGTGCAGGTGTCATGGCAGGAAAACCACCCGCCTGCCAGGGCAGGCGGTCCCAAGAATAGGGAGCGCAAGTGACAGGATTCAAGGAGACCCAAGGACAGGAGTGCCGGCTCAGATTCAAAGTTGTCCCGTAGAGGGGCGTTCGAATCCCATTCACGCTGGGCTTTTGGGTGGGTGTCCGACGTAGATCGAGACCCGGGGTAGATTGAGGTGTGCCCAGTTCCATTCAGAAATCTTCAGATGCTACAAATGAAAGCAGAATGCTCATAACTTGACTGATAACCCTAGACAGAACCCTCGCACGCTCCTCGCTCCAAAACGAATGGGCACGGCTAATATCAACGCCTTTAGTTCCTGAAGTGTCTTGTAGAAACAGGCAGTCATACGGCACGCCGCAGGGAACCAGGTAGATGCCACTTTGATTGGCTGCAGCTTTACTACCCTGAATCAGCGTAAGATGAGGCGCGCGGATTCCCAACCTCCCTGCCACACTTGTTTCTTGAACATTCCATCATTGCTTCTGGTTTATACTGGTTTTTAGGGTTGTACCTGAAGCGCTGTCGAATGTAGCTTTTGGTTCGTAGTCCTTGTCCTAGCAAGGGATATAGTCTCGCCCTAAACCCTAAACCCTAAACCCGAAACCCTAACCCTAAACCCTAAACCCCTGATGTTTGGGTCGTTCTTTGCTTTTCCTTGCGGTGACAAGGAGGGCTCCGACCACCTGAGCGAGGCAATGGTACCAGCAGCGACTGGATGTGCACTCATCACTTGCCTGTGAGAGTCTGCTAGAGTTTAGGGTGCAGGGTTTAGGGTTTGCATTGGGATTTAGGGTTTAGGGTTTAGGGTTTTGGGGTTTAGGGTTTAGGGTTTAGGGTTTCGTGTACGTTGTGTCAAGCCGAAGCTGCATTGCAGCAACCACTGAGGCGCAGGATCTCTTGATTGCGCCCAGCTTCTCCAAGGGTCGCTTTAAAAAAGCCCTTTGCGCAGTTGCGCGGTTTCAGGTTCAGCCTTGATGTAGAATAGACTCCTTTGCCCACATGTTGTTCAATAACTTTCACGAGGCCTTGGGATATGTTGTTGGAGCTCCCCTGAGTAACCATCCTCCCACATCCGAACCTTCGTGGTTCAGGTATGCGTGAACAAGCAACACCTACCTTTTTGTTGGTAAACCCTAAACCCTAAACCCTATAAACCCTAAACCCTAAACCCTAAACCCTAGCCCCAGACTATAAATATTCTACAGGTTCAGGTTGCCAGGGATTTAGGAGCTCAGGGTATGGAGCCCCGAAGCCCTCAATCCTAAACCCTGAACCTTCGGAACCCTGCGGTGTGCGTGTATGTGGCCGGAATTCGGAACCCTGAAACCTGAAACCCGAAAACCGAGGCCCGAAATAACCCGAAACTTTAAACTCTAAACCCTAAACCCGAAACCCTAAGTTCTGACCCCTCCGCCCTAAACCCTAAACCCTAAACCCCAAACCCTAAACCCTAAACCCGAAACCCTCAAAGCCCCCCAGGTGAAGACCAAGATCCGCGCAGGGCTGACGCAGGCTGGGGTGACCGCAGGCTTCCGACTCTACAAGCTGGCAGGCCGCCGGGAGGAGGGCCTTTGGCAGGGCTTTAGAAATTTGGGGGGGCTTGGGCGTTTTTGTGTATAAATATACAAACGTATGTGTATATGTATATGTAGATGTAGATGTAGATGTATATGTATACGCTTTTGAGTTTGGAGCTTCCAAGCTTTGGCTTCCGCCGTGCAAGGTTTGCCGAGTCTGGAAAGTTACCTGCGCAGTGCTCCAGATCACGGTCTTCTTTTGTAAAGACCTTGTAGTAAGCAACTGATGTCAAGAGGGGTTCTAGTTAAGAACCACTCCCTGGCATGCAGTCAGGCGTCTATTCCGTTGGCCTTGGGACCAGAAAGTTGGCCTGTGAGCCCCATTCTGCAAGTCGAGGGGCCCAAAGGGACTGAAGGCTTAGGGGGTGCAGCATTCGAAGGGCCCAAAAGTTAGAGGCACGAAGTAGTGACCGCGGAGCAGCGCAAGCCGTCTCTCATACTTCTAGTGCTGCCACTAGTACCAGGGGTGCTCACATCTTGGACTTCACGGCTGGGAGGCTTTGGGGGGGTGAAGGGCTTTAGGGTTTTAGGGCTGTCGATATGCCCTCGCTCCTGCATCTGAGGATCGCGCCGGCCACCTCGCCATGACGCTCATGCTAAGACTACAGAGGCAGCTCGCCCTGCCAGGCGGGTGACGTCCTGGAAAAAGGTTGAGGGGGATACAAGCCACTCGGGAAACTGACCACGTGAGCCAGATTCCAGGTTTATTTTCAGGGCTTCCCTAAGCCCTAAACCCTAAAAACCCTAAAAGCCCTAAAAACCCTATAAACCCTATAAACCCTATAAACCCTATTATAAACCCTAAGAACCTGCAAGGCGCCCCAACCCCCAAGCGGCGTAGGGCTTGGAATAGGAGAACGAGAAGCAGCCATGAATGGGAGGGAGCAACAGAGGTGTGAGAGCAATCCCAAATCCTTTGTGCGCGGCCGAAACACTATGAAACACGAAACACTATGACACACGATGAAGCACTAAGAATGCTGAACCCATGTTTCGCGAGCGCCTGTGTGCACGACTGCTGCTCGCGCTTTGGTGCCCCTTCTCGCCGTCCTCTGATTGCCCGAGGCATCCTGAATAAAGGGGTCGGAACAACTATTAAAAACATGCCCTTATGGTCCCTTGATAATTATCCGGGAATAGCCCCCATTCAAAACCCTATTCCAATTATGAAGGCGCCTATAGTACTTTTCTTGCGGTGTGGTCTCTAGACTCCACTCTTCCAGGAAGTGCCTTTGGATAGTAGCGGGAAGCCATCACGTAAGACGTCTACCATTTCTCTTGCCAGCGATATCCCTCACCCACGAGAAAGGTCTAACATATTGTTATTGGCAGTTGCGAAACCGACATCATGAAGCGGGGAACTGGATGTGTGGCACGAAGACTTCCACCAGACGTTTTTTGCTCTGCTGTCTTCAGGCGAAGGAACCGGAAGTAAAAACCATCAATGGATCTTGGGTTAAGTCCGTGCGGGTGAGCGCATGAAAGTAGTCCGTAGGTGAGCATTGCTGGAACAATCGTCTGTCTGCACGGCAACACCCGAACCGGAACTAACGGGCAAAAAACCCCAAACGCCCTAAACAAACCCGAACCCTCAACCGATGTTGAAAGCAATATTAATGAAACAATCCCTATAACCCCAAACCTATGTAAAAATCCTTATTAGTTAATAATTTATAATGTTCTGCTATGCCCCTCATCAGGCGGCAACGCCTGGCGCCGACTCCGTGAGCTGGTTCTGTCCGCTGCAGAGCGCTGCTTCGCGGAAGAGGGGCCACCTGCGAGGACGGCAGATGTCTTGGGGTTAGAGGGTTGAGGGTTTAGGGTTTAGGGTTTAGGGTTTGTTGGGAGGGTTTTGGAGTTTCATTGTTTAGGTGCTTGCAGGGTGTAGTTGGGCTTGTAGGGTTTGGGGTCTTATTGGGCTTTTTGGGCTCATCCACCCCTGACAAAGCCGAAACCCTCCGAACATCAGAAACCGCTGCACCACGGACCCCGAAGCCTGGCAGCCAGACACCAGGATGGAGATGAAGCTCTTGTCCTCCATTCGCCTGAAGCCGTTGGAGGTTGGAGCTCGAGGGCCCCTATAAGACACTGAACCCACTGTCAACTTCAAGCTGAGGCTCATGAAAGCCCTATTTCCAGGGCTTGCTTGCCCTATTCCTCCCCCCCCCCCCCCGAGCCCTGCAGCGCTCACGCGTCTTGTGCGGCGCAGGTGAAGAAGGAGCACGAGGCAGGCCTGATTCAAAGCCGTTTCTGGGTTTCAATCGTACAGAGACCACCAGAATCTCTGCTGATTTGCCACCCTCTTATGTCTGGCATCGAAGCATTTCTTCGCAGGTGTGCGTGAAGGCCATGCCTCGCAAGAAGGTGAAGCAGGAGCACGAGGCACCCTAGTGGGGACTTCTCCTGAAACGTGCAATGCAGCCATAAGGATCATCAACAGGGCGTTGCAGTGGGGATGAGGGTTTCAGAACACACGATGGGCCGCTAAGACTACACTTGCTGCGCAGCGTTACACTACGCCCAGAGGGAATCGTGCGCAGGCCTCGCTTCACTTTGATGTGCTTTTCAGAAGGGTGATGCACCTCACCAGCCCGATACACACGAAAGCCCTTGCAGGGTATTTACATTGCGGCCGGGGGGGGGGGGGAGAGGCTGAAACGACCCGAAGCCCATATGCCGAATCAGGATGCGAAGACGTATGGCGAACCTGCGACGATGTATTGGGAGGCGAAGCCAAACTCGGAGGCGAATTCGCTTTCCGAAGCCGAATCAGGAGGATAACTAGACAGTGAACCTCTAGAATAAGCCCGGTCAGCGACAAGCTCATGAAGATGGGAGGCGCAGGGGAGGAATTCAGTGTCGAATTGCAACGCCACCTCGCAACGCGGCGTCACATTTCGGCATCACGTACAGCGATTCGGCTTCAGTAATTCGGCTTCAGCTTCTTGTCGATTCAACCCCGCTCCCCTCCCCGGCCGCCCTGCTTGCGCTTATTTGCCCCCCAGCCGTACGATTTCAACGCAGGTGCGCGTGAAGGCCATGCCGCGCAAGAAAGTCAAGCACGAGGCGCCCGAGTGGGCAAACGCGTACCACTCAGCCAAGAGGAGTATCAACGGTTCCAGACCACAAGCTAGGTCGCCAAGATTACACTTGCTGCGCAGCCTTACGCTATGTCCAGACGATGGGAATCGTGTAGCTATATGGGATGAATGTCTTTTTCCGGCAAGTTTTAATGGCCTTTCGGCAGGGTGGGTGATGCACATTATTGCACCTGCACAGTAGATGCAGAGCACTTGCAAGGATTTGCTGGTGGGCTGCAGTCACATTTGCTTCTTTGCCCCGCCAGCCGAACCATTTCATCAACGCAGGTGCGCGTGAAGGCCATGCCGCGCAAGAAAGTCAAGCACGAGGCACCCGAGTAGGCACTGGTCCATAGTAACTAGCCCTAAAGTGTACCATTCAGCCAAAACGAGTTTAGACAACACTTGCTGTGCACTGTGTCCAGGGCCAAGTGGGAATCACATGAAATCGTGCAGTTTTGCCTCTTCGGGGATGTGTCTCAAAAAGAGGTCTCCTTCGGGCAACCTTTGATGTGCCGTTTAGGCAGGGTGATGCGCCTTAGGGCACCCTTCCAGCAGATACGACGATCGCGTGCTACAAGCATGTTTGCTTAGTTGCCCCGCCAGCCGGACCATTTCCACGCAGGTGCGAGTGAAGGCCATGCCGCGCAAGAAGGTGAAGGAGGAGATCGAGGCTCCCCAGATGCAAAGCCTTTGTCGAGTTGACTTTGGCGGATTCGGGTTTGAGGAGGCGCCACATTGGATTTTGGAGTGCTGGTCCTAGGTTCTGGTCGGACGTGGTAGGTCTCTGCGCCACGTACGTCCAGGGTTTAGCAGAGCCGGCAGCACCAGCTGAGGGGGAAAGCACAACCAGAAAGCCGTGAACCTTGCATCATTGCAAACTGCCACAGTCTAGATAAACAATAATCACAGTTGTTTGTCACAGTAGTTTTCCTCTGAAAGCCCTGCATACTCGCGACAGAGACTACCCAAAGACCCAAAGTACCCATTCCATTTTACAGGCCCCTGTATTACCGCCCAAGCCTCACCAGACAAGATGTGATGAGTACTCGCCCCCCCCCCCGCCCCCCCCGCCGCCCTTGAACTCGCTCAGCTTTCCTCTCAACCCTGAACCCTCAACCCTACGTAAAGGTCTGCCAGAGAGCTTCGGGCTTCAGCTGTAAACTCGGGTCTGAAACCTTAAGGGTTCAGGAGTTAGGGTTAAAGCAAGCGCAGGGGGCACAGGATTCCGGCTTGAGCGTTTCCTCAGGGTTCAACCTAGACCACGCCCCGGCCTGCCCGCCGACAGGAGCGAGGTTCGGCCGCATCGCTGCTCAAGGCATATAGGGCTTCAGGATTTCCAGGAGTTCAAGTTTGAGTTGCGGGTTCCAGCAGTAAGACATGTTGTGACGGTCTCCTCACCAGCCCAAATCTTCAACCCCTGTAAACCCCGCCCTTGAACCCTGAACCCTAAACCCTAAACCCTAAACCCCAAACCCCAAACCCCAAACCGAACTTAGCATGGCATGCATGCAGCATTGCTCTTTGGCAGGCTCAGGTCAAGCGCATGCCCAAGAAGCCCGAGATTCTTGCCTGCCTCACAGCTTAGGGTTTAAGGTGGAGGGGTTTGTTTAGCGTATAAGCCCTGTAAGAAACACTCTCCACAACGTTACCTGTGTTGTAAGAAAACATGGGGATTGTTGGAATGTAGAGTCCCCTTAGTTGGGGTCAACTTGTATCCCTGCATCCTCATCGTTACCCAGCTCTGAAAATCCATATACCCTAAGCTCAAGGACTCGGGTAACTTACCGAGAAGCTCCCCCGAATATGCCCCACTGTTAGTTCCCCTCTTAGTCCTAAACCAAGCCTTAGCCCCAACCCCTGGTATGTTTTTTTCGAAACTTCCCATTGAGTCGAGGATCGAAGAGGTTCCGAACCTTCTTGAGAAGGAGGCGCAGCGGGCGCTTCAGGCCGGGGGTTGGGAGCTTTCGGGGTTTTGGGGTTTGAGGGTTGAGGGGCTTGGGCATCGACGTCCGATGTTGGGGATGTTGGGTTTAGGGTTTAGGGTTTATAGGGTTTAGGGTTTAGGGGTCGGATGTTGGGGCTTCGGGTGTCGTTTATCTTGGGGGTTGGAGGATTCGTGTCTCAGGTCGTGGGGTGGTGCCGTGGCGTGTTTCAAGATCCGGGGTGTGGGCTAGAGATTTCGTTTGAACACCGCGCTTTCTAATCTTCGCGACTGCCCACTGCAGATTGTTCTGCCATGTGCTCTGAGGAGTCCCTAAACCCCAAACCCCAAACCCTAAACCCTATAACCCCTAAGCCCTTGGCAAGTTTCGGACTCTGGAAGGAGATGGAGGAGGCAGATCAGCGAATGAGCCAGTCGCAGATACCCTGCTGATTTAGGGGTGGGGGGAGGGTGAAGGGGGTTCACGGTTTAGGGTTTTGGGTTTAGGGAGTGGTTGTTTTTTTTTTTTGGGGGGGGGGGGGGGGGGGGGTCATGGTTTAGGGTCCACGGTGAATTGCTGGGGGGCTCCAGGGCCTGGGTTGAGGATGAGGGATGCTTAGTACAGCAAGTTGCAATCCTTGGATGCCTAGCGGGCCCATCTTCACGTTTTCTTGTAAGTTTGGTTCCCTTACCACGCCCTATTGTTGCAGCCATTGCATGTGCTAAGGATGGTGAGAAACTTTCAGAATTTGACTACACACAACAACTGAAGAAACCCCTTTGCGACCGAAGACGTCACGAACACAAAAGACTTGGTCAATCTGTGCATGCACTTTAGGCTTTGGGCAGAACACCTTGCCAGCCGAGCGTAAGGGGAGAAATTTAACGACCCCAAGCAGACGTGCTAAAAAAGTATGTCATGTGACGATGTTTGTCTAAAAACAAACCCGACCTCGACTTCGAGCAAGAATATTGCAAACAAGGGTTTAGGGTTTAGGGTTTAGGGCTTAGGGCTTAGGGCTTAGGGTTTAGGGTTTAGGGTTTAGGGTTTAGGAACTGTCGCTGCCACTGCACTGATATGAAGTTTCTCAGATAAGGGTATGTAGGCCTCACGTTGTTTTATCATTCAAAAGTGCGTGTGATCATCATACTGGGCCTGCCACATCTTTGATTTTCAGAGCGCCGGATCCAAGCAGAAGCGTGACCGACCAGGTTGGACCCTCATGTTTAGATGCAGGTTTTGCTATGCCAGCTACCATTAAGACGAAAGATACTTCATTGGCAGATGAGCATTTACCAGGCTGCACGGACCTGGATGCTACACTTAATTAAGTGGATGTGACATGTCTCGACCAACAACACTGATTTCGAGGGATTCAGTTATCAGTACAAGACGTCAAGTAGGTCGGCCATGAACGATTACCGACGCTGATCTAACATGTGCTGCTATTGTGACAGACCCAATCAGCTCAGAGAGAGAGACAGAGGAGCGAAGAGTCGCACGACCATTGTGAAGCACGGCGGCATGACGTGCAGGTTGCAGCACAAGCACAACACAAACACGCCAAAGTTGACGTTTTCTGCTCGACAACTTGAAATCAGATCATTGGAGGTTCCTTGCACTGCATCTGGGCGATTTTCCCATGGCACGGTTTACTGCGGCAGCTTCATCACATCAAACATGCTGTGCAAGAACGGCGTCCTCCCTATTTTTGTTCACATTGGTGCATAGTAATAGAACAACTAACCATGCCCAATTTGTACATAAGACGTCCTGGCCGCATCGACCACAGAACTCAAACTTGAGCCCATAAGCCCTAAACCCTACAGTACCCACAGCCCTGCACCAGTCCATAAACCCCAACCCTAAACCCTAAACCCTAAACCCTAATCCTAAACCCTAAACCCTCTAAGACGACCCACAGCGAGCCGAGGCAAGAGCTCCAGGCAGCCACCGAGGCTGCCAAGGGCAACGCGCAGGAGACATGTCTTCGGCGTCGGCTTTGGGTTCAAGGTTTCAGGTTCAGGGTTCAGGGTTCGGGGTTTAGGGTTTAGTTTAGGGTTTAGGGGGGTGAAGTTGGTGGTGGCTATCAGGATCGAGAGTCTTCAAGGATGGGTTTCGTTATTGAAGGTTGGGGGAGTGGCGCCTTGGGCATCAGAGTGGCAGGGCGCGCGCGCTATGGCTATCCTGCATTGAACGAGGGTGCAGCGCCTCCAAGCGTCATGCACATCCTGGTTCTGTGGGAAGGTTTGGGAGCTCGTGAAGACACGATCACTGCGGGGTCATGTAATTTCATCGCGAAGTTGTGTCTCGCTGGATGGCAGTCACGCAGTCTCGGACCTTGTTTAAGGGAGCATTGGTGTTTGCAAGCAATGCTTGGCTTTGTTCGAGGCCGGATGGGACTGTCGCTTTGCGATGTTTTCCTGGTAGTTTGGCACGTGGATGTGTGATTCTTAGAGGAAGGATGCGATGTTGGGCGAAATGGTCGGTTGAAGGACTTTCCATGTTTAGTGATGTGGTGTTCTTGTGCTGGCAGCGCACAGCTCTTCGCAGAGTAAGCTCATCTGAATTGGCGGGGCGACATAGACTGTAAATGACTGTAACTCTTGATCGGTAAAGGATGGTAAAATGGCTGTTGCTTCAGGGCCCTTGCCAGGGATCCCACAGCGGGATCAAGGATGAACAAGTGCAGTCGGAGAGCTGATAAGACCACAGCTTCCTGACAAAAACAAGTAGGAGGTCAGGGATGATAAAACACACAGAAATACGGCGCAGGAAGTGTCCATAAACCCCAAACCCCCAAACCCCCAAACCCCCAAACCCCCAAACCCCCAAACCCCAAAACCCCAAAACCCCAAAACCCCAAAACCCCAAAACCCCAAAACCCCAAAACCCCAAAACCCCAAAACCCCAAAACCCCAAAACCCCAAAACCCCAAAACCCCAAAACCCCAAAAACCCAAAAACCCCAAAACCCCAAACCCCAAACCCCAAACCCTAAACCCTAAACCCTACGAAGGACCTGCGGCTGCAGCTCGTTCAGCAGGCGCACAACCTCGCCATGAAGGCCTGAAGCAGCCCCTGCTTGGCTAGGACTCCCAGCAGCGCAGTGGTGCCCCATTTTCCTTCTTTCTGTTGTTGGGGGGGGGGTTTGGGGTTTAGGGTTTAGGGTTTAGGGTTTAGGGTTTAGGGTTTAGGGTTTAGGGTTTAGGGTTTAGGGTTAGGGTTTAGGGGGTTTAGGGTTTAGGGTTTAGGGTTTAGGGTTTAGGGTTTAGGGTTTAGGGTTTAGGGTTTAGGGTTTAGGGTTTAGGGTTTAGGGTTTAGGGTTTAGGGTTTAGGGTTTAGGGTTTAGGGTTTAGGGTTTAGGGTTTAGGGTTTAGGTCTACCCCATTGTCGGCCCTCGGCAAGGCGATGCTTCCCTCCACGCACGCCTCTAACGAGGATGAAGGCCAACAACTCCCCGCTGGCTTGCCGGCTAACACTCATAGCAAAACCCCAGGCAGCCTACCCCCCCGCCCCCCCCGTACATCCCCCCCCCACCCAAAACCCTAAACCCTAAACCATGGGTTCCATCTCTCGCAGCCTTGACACTTGCAGGCCCAGGGCCAGGCGAGGGAAAACTGGCGGTTCTACCTGGAGAAGATGGACGAGCTGAAGCGCGCCACTCGGATGCAGTTTGTGGTATTTGAGTGCTCATCTGGGGGAAGCCAAAACCATACTGAAGAGAACCAGCTGTCCATCTTGATACTGAGCCCTCTTTTCCTGTACTGGCAAAAGGCTTCCTGTCCTGATGCCGCAGTTCAACCCCTCCTCCATCGAACACAAAAGGCCCCCAGGCAAGGAGCAGCCTGCATGCCCTGGCAACAGCGCCATTGTCTACTACCAATTCCTTAAGAAATAAAAGATTCTTCCATATAAGGGTAATATAGCGATAATTTGTTTTATATTTTTTGAGGGTTCTTAAGCAAATAGTCTAGGGTTCAACGTGGAATTGAAACAGCTATTGGCTTTTGAGCGCACATGCAGGCTTTGATTTGGTTCTTGCAACTGAGAGAGGCTGCAAGGTACTGTCGAGAAAAATGCGCACCCACAGAGTACGCCGGCTCGATTCATGATGGTGAGAAGTGTTTCTTAAAAGCCTGCCTAAGCGCAATCCATCCAGAACCTGAAGTTCCTCTGGTGCTGTCAGTTTGCGGATTCTGTCCATTCTGCGCTTTGCTTCTGCACCGTCACTCAGGGTGCGACCAAGACAAACAAAAAGCCTCTGAAGCCTCCCCCGAAAATCCCGGAGCTGCCCCAGACCTGGGGAGGTTTCGGGTGTTCGTGTGCCCTACCGGTTCTTAATCGGGAATTATGGAAGGAGGGTCCCTCTAATCCCTTAAGGCGGCACCTAGGGAGATACGGGGGTAGTCTAAATGTCTAAATGCCCCGCAAAGATTGACAATGCAAACAGTCGAGTCGAGCCTGGGTTTGAATGGGAGCTAAAGGAAGCCACGCACCGCGCCGCTCGGCTGAATTGCGTCACTTTCTCGTAGTGAGCGCTGAGGTTGAGGGCTTATCGGGATTAGAAGGGCCTTAACATGTTTGGGCACCAAGGGGATACTGCAGTTTGTATCGGATCTTGTGGGGATGCGTTGGACCTTGGGCCATGCTTTCCTGGCTTTAGATATCCCCCGCCCCCACGCCGGCTGCGCCTACTGGTACCGGTCCGTAGGCCTTGCTATGCTTGCTCGTGTTCGAGTAACTTTTTGGGTAGGGGTTTCGGGTTTGGGGCCTGAGGCCTCGGAGACGCTTACAGTCAAGAAGGACGCCTCCGGGCATCATGGCGCTTTCAACTTGGGGAGTCTTCCTGGGTCTGGGATCTCCAACTCGACCGCTTTGAGGAGTTGTGGTTGTTTGGCTTAGTCTAGAAGAGACCTGGGACCTAATTTGCGGAGAACAGGCGGGTCTGGGGTTTCAGGGTTCAGGATGTAGGAATCACAATAGTAATTGCAGAGAAGCCTGGCTACTTGGCAGTTGAGCTTGACGTCGGTTTGGGGTCGGGTAGAGGTCTCCAGGAGTTCGCAGGCTCCTCCAGACCCGGACGTTGCCAGCTATGAGCTTTGCAGGGTTGAGGAAGTCTAGGTTCAGGGCTTAGGGTTTAGGGTGTCGGGTTTCTGAAACAGACGAAGCTCATCAACGTTCAATAGTTTTGCGGGTTAAGGCTCAGGGTGTGCTAGCACATTAAGGCGGCTTAAAAGGGTTTTTGAGGGTTTTGGGCCTTTTGAAGGTTTGGCGCGATTCAAGGCCTCAGGGGATTTAGGAGGGGGGGGGGGGGGGGGGGGGGGGGGGGGGGGGGGGTGGCGGTGGAGGGGGGGTTCGATTTCGGGTTTCAGGCCGGTGTAGGTCTTGAGGCTGTTGAGGCTCCTGGGGTTGTAAGGCTTTTGGGGAGACTCTGGAAAAGTCTGGGCTTTCCAATGCCACGGCAGGAGGAGCCCGAGGAGGAGCCTTCACGGGATCATACGCTCCGGAGGAGGCTGGGTTTAGGGTCTAGGGTTGAGGGTTTAGGGTTTAGGGTGATTCGATTCACCCCCTCCCCCCCCCCCTGCTGTTGGTTGAGTTCTAAAGCTTGTGTTTGGGCCTCCCGCCTAGCCTTCCAGCAAAAAAAAGGTGCACGAAGGCAGCGCCTGCGTACGGCATGCCCTCAGCCCTAAACCCTGATTCTTTCCTTGGCTGTGCGAACATCTGCTGTTCAGGTAGTGACCAGCAAAGGAACCAGCAGCATGCGCTGAACCCACAAACTCCGATCTGACGAGAAGATCAATTCTAATTGGGCCCTGTTAAGTACCTGGAAACTAACAGGAGCATGCTAAACTTCAGAAGTGGCTTCCGTGTTGAGGAATGCGGAAGCCTAGCCAGCTGGGCATAAGTTGGCACATGAGCCCTGTGCTTTCACGGTTCCAGAGTGACTTTCTTAAGTTCCGCCGAGGGCCTGGCTGCTTCAGTACTCAGCGCCAGGGTGTTGGGGAACACTCACTCGGATACTCGTAAGAAGTCGTGTGCCTGGACTCACTTTGAAGTGGACTGCCAGGGTCATTCTCAGGGCGAGGAAGAGGCAGCTTGGCTTGCAACTCCTAAGAGCCCCTCAAACCTAAGCCTTAAACCCCAAGCTCCAATTTCTGAAGCTCTACCCAAATTTTTGTGTTTTCAAGTCTTTAGATGGCGTGTCAGGGGTTTAAAGGGGCGCTGGCTTGGACCTACTTGGGCGTTGAAAGCACCCACAAACCCACCTTCAACAATAGATTTGTACTAGAGCGCCCTGAAGGTTCAGGGTTGCCCCAAGCCTTGACAACCTGGGTTGGTGTCGGCAGAGGTCCAGTGACAACTCTGCCCTATATGGGGGCGGGTTCTGACTGCACCGACGTTTTTGCTGCACACTTACACAAGATTGCCTCCCAACGCAAAACCCTCTAAACCCGAAACGCCCTAAACCCGAAAACCCGAAACCCCGAACTCCGATGAAGCCACTCAGGCTTCGGATGGATGAAGTCTCTGAGGAGCGGTCGGAGCCTCGCAAGCGGCGCCGAAGGCAGGGGGAAGCTCTCTCTATCGCACACAGGGTTCAGGCTTGAGGGGTTTAGGGTTTAGGGTTGAGGGTTTAGGGTTGTTTTGAATGTAGGGATGTTGGCGTTGAGTGTGTGGAATTTAGGGTGACGGCGGATGTCTACGGAGAGTTTTTGGATGCCTGACCCTGCGGGATCAGGGTGTAAGATGGTGTCAGTGTAAGGCTGGTGGTTGAGGTGCTGTGAACCAAACCCCAAAAGCTTCTTTAAGTCTTGAAACTTAGGCACGCAAGGGCTTCATTGATTCTAATTAACCACTGCTTCGTTGCTGAGGGCGAAGACACGCGAAGCGCTCAGCGGCCAACTACCCCGTAGAGTCGAACCCTAACAAGGCCAACGCTCGATCGCCTAAGGCGTCCAATGTCAAGAAGCCGATAAGGCCCCACCCAAGCCAGAAACGAGAACAAGCTCCTAAGCCACACAACTCTGGACTCAAAAGCCTAAACTCTGAACCTGCCAGGGCTCCCTCTCCTCCCCCCCCCCCAAGTCTGGGAGCCCCCATCCCCCCCCCCCCCCATAAAACCGGCGAAACCCTAGGAATCCAAAGACCAAGGAGCTTCGGAGAGCTAAAAACCCGTAAAATGCGCCGAAAAGCCGGTTCCTTCGGGGGGGGCGACTCTTGCAGCTGACAAACCCTAAACCCTAAACCCTAAACCCTAAACCCTAAACCCTGAACCCTAAACCCTAAACCCTAAACCCTAAACCCTAAACCCTAAACCCTAAACCCTAAACCCTAAACCCTAAACCCTAAACCCTAAACCCTAAACCCAAACCCCAAACCCTAAACCCTAAAGCGTGGCAGGTCCTCGCCACGCAGGTGCACTGCGAGACAGGTGTACCTGCTCAGGGAAGCCCAAAGACATGGCGCAGCTCGGACTTGGATATTGTGAGAGCTTTGAGGGCGTTCAGGGTTTAGGGTTTAGGGTTTAGGGTTGATGCAGAAAATCGGAGGCTTGCCTTGAAAGCGTAAACCCTGAAGTGCCTAAACACCGCGAAGAATTTAAGAAGTCTCCCGGCAAAAAGCTTTCACGGTGTTCCTTTGACCCACTGTGGGATGTTTAAGGGGAGGATCATGCTCATGAGCGTCCTCCGAAACATCTTGGGCATCGTCACCTGCACGGCTCATGCTGTTGCAGGTTTCAGGTTTAGGGTGGTGAGGGTTTATAGGGTTTGCAGGCAGTATCGGGTCTGTCGCGTTTATGGGGTTAGTGTGGTGTAGGGGTTTAGGTTTTACCGTGTTTGTGGAATTTAAATTTTGACTCAAGCCCCATGCTCAACAGTTTTGACGACTACCACGGCTACGACAGCTGCAGAGATCTTCCTAGTCCAGCTGCCCGCAGCCCCTAAACCCGAAACCCTAAACCCCCTAAATCCCCTAAACCCCCTAAACCCTAAACCCTAAACCCTAAACCCTAAACCCTAAACCCTTCCCGCAAAAGACTTAGGAGGACTGGGACCCCTCGAGATGCAGCAACGTCATCGAGAAGTATGGGCACTTGATGCAGTACATAAGCCCGGACGATTTGGTTTTCACACATCTGAACATCTCGCCCTACTTCAGGACACCGGTGCGTAGGGTTTCGGGTTTAGGGTTTAAATTTAGGGTTTCGGGTTTCGGGTTTAGGGACTAGGGGTTTAGGTTTAGGGTCCCCTTTCTCTTGCCCTCTTAGCCTTGGCGGGATTTCTACAAGGAGGGGTGTCTTAAGGTTCATTGAGTTACATGCGCATAGGATGCTTCGGGACTCCAGGCCCAACCTAAATGGTTTAGGGAGGGCCTGTGGGCTTCGGTGGGCCCCTCTTCGCAGGAACGGCCCGCACAAGGGGCAGCCTTTGGAGACGCTGCTCCATGACCTCTCCAGCTGCGTCCTCGACCCGATGGACCTCACTGCGCTGGTAGGCTTGGAGGACCGTTCTTTAAACGAAGTGTAGGTGTGATGGGGGCCGTCGGCCCTTAAGCCCTGTTACCTCCTGGAGGGTTTGGGGCATGGGCTAGGTTTTGGGCTAGGTTTGGGTGGAGCCTGAACCCTAAAGTTGTTGCTGTGGGTGGTGGCTGGATGCTGCACAATTGGAAAGCAACTCTAGGCTGGTGGTCTGCTTAACCTCCGTGCTTCAGCAAGGGTTGTCAGTAGGGCCTAATTTAGGGGCCAGGGTTTTGGGGCGCAAGGGCGGTTGCAGAACTCTGGCGCGATGCAGGATAATTTGTGTCTTTGCCGCAAAGCTCTGCGCCATACGCATTTTCTACAACTTTACATTCCGACATGCTCCATCCGAACGCGCAAGCAGCTAAGAATCATCGAGTCTAAGCCTCGAGCACCTGCAGAGGTGTGCTGCATAGCAACGAGCTACGGGTGGTTTGCGGGAACCGCCGCCTGAGCGTGCAGCTCGGAGTGGAGTTTTCAGGGATGCAGGTGATGCAGGTCTGGAAGTTCAGGTGTTACGTCTAACAACTCGGAGGCCAAGGCCTCGAGTTGCTCGAAAATTCGAAGCTTAGGCCTCTTGGTAGCCCAGTGGTACAGTACCCCTTTCCCTTTTTCTTGGGTTCAAGGTTCCCTTATGAATTAACCAACCAAAAAAGAGGGAGCCCTTATTGCAACATGGTTACTGGGGTACCAGGGCCTAGAGTTCTGGGCGTATTGGGCGTATACTGAAGCTTCTTCTGGGTTCAGGATGCCGGCACGCACTTACAAGTCAGCGTCCTTGGTTCAACCTAAACGCCCGAAAGCCTAAACATGCCCAAGAAAGATGTACTTCAACGACCTTTGAGCCTTAAACCCTCGACCTTAACAGCTTTCGGAGCCTTAGTGCTTGGTTGGCCAGAAACTTGAGAGAGAGACGTGTGCAATACGAAGTGCTTTCTCTAAATCTGTTTACAGCGGACTGGAGAGGACGCAGTTTTGGTCTCCCTCTTGGGTGATTGGGAAGAGCATATTTTTCACAATACGAAAAGAAACAAAATGTTTTGTACAAGATGCTGCATATATTCCATACATCTGTCTCAGCATGTATCTGACGAGCATTAGAACAAGCGCGCAAAACACACACACACACACACACACACACACACACCCACGCACGCACGCACGCACGCACGCACGCACGCACGCACGCACGCACGCACGCACGCACGCACGCACCACACACACACACACACACACACACACACACACACACACACACACACACACACACACCCCAAAAACACCCGCACGCGCACGCGCACACGCAGGCTGGATCGTAAGGGTGCTTCCAACTTGGTCATCTGTAAAAATGGAGCGGAAAAGCTGCCTTGCCTTGAAACCTTCAGAGACCAGCGGTGTAAGGCTCAAGCGCTATCTGCACATGCTCCGCCAGGCCGGTTCCGATTGAGGGAGAGGAGGGGGTGCAGGGCCAGATGTATGAGCAAGATCCTCCCAAGCGCCCTTAGAGGTTAGGCCAAACAGTTTAGGGTTGGTGTTTGTTCAAATCACGGTCCGGATGCTTAAGCACCAATAGCAAAGGAGGCTAGAGCTTGCCGTCCTACATACAGGACTAAAAGGGGACCCTACCTCTACCCATATAGGACGTTGGAGCTTGAGGGCCATGAAGGGTTGAAGCTCGTTGCCAGGACGGCAACGAGGAGAGAGCTCTGAATGTGAAGCTTGGCTCGATTGCTCCCCCCGGCCCCCCCGTTCTGTTGGGAGGGTTTGGTTCCCTTTGATTCCCGTCCACTCTAGGCCCTAAACCCTAACTCCCTCCGGTTTTCGTCCTGCAAGTGGGGAACCCGGAAGGCTGGGATCAGTTTCTTACGGCCTAGCTCCGGGGCTGGAGACTTGTATCAGAAATGGCACTGAGGTCTTTAGTGGTATTAGGGCTTTAGTTTGTTTTTTCTCTTCTGTTTTTTTTGTTTTTTTCTGGCGGGGGGTGGGGGGGGGGAGGGGGGTGGGTGCTGGTCTTAAGTGCAGGGTTTCGTTACTTTCATTTGGCTGCTTAGCCTCTTGTCACTGACCATCTGTTTCAACGGAGCCATAAAGCCCAGAAGAGCCCCCTCCCCCGCCACTCCCTCCTCGCCAAGGAAGGTGCCGGTGTATGTCCACATGTGGGAGGATCTGCCAAGAGGGCTGCAAGCCAAATATGCTTCCGGCCTCAAGTATTTTTTGGAAGTTTGGTGGGGTTTGGGGGCTGAGGGCCCGATGATCTGGGGTTCAGGTTTGGCGTCTTTCGACAGACCATTCATTTTCTTTCGTCTTTGGCCTAACTTGAAAATCCCAAACGTGCACAACCTAGAATCAGACAGTAGCCGACAACAAGTCAACCCTCGAACACGAAGCATGAACCCGCCATGCTGCAAGCAATGCAAACCACAAAGTATCAACAAGCTAACGAATAGGGCGGGTTCATCTATGGCGCAGGCTTGGCTAAATGCTCGGTTTTAGGATTCGGGCCTTCTTTCAGCGTTCATGATCGTCAAACTGAGTCTTGTCGGCTTCAAGGGGGCCCTTGCAGGTTCTATGGTTCTCAAGCCCTCAACCCATCTAAACGAGATTGCAGAAAGCCCATCCTAAGCTCGTGGACTTTTTCTCACCGCTGAGATCGAAGCATCCTCAACAGTGGACGGGAAGCAGCCCGAGTTCTTTCCCCAGCGTTTCTTGACTTCGGGAGATGGGGCATTTCCTCAAATCGGGGTCCCTTAGTACGCTTCCAAAACGCGCCCCCCCCCTCCCACAAAGGTCAAGCCCGCCATACTAAACCAGCGCAGGCTGCACCGCCAGCCATTGTAATCATCTTGGAAATGTCCTGAAAGCCCGATGAGGTAGTTGTAGAGGAGAAGTGACTGAAATTAACGAGCCACGTGAACTCATGACTTCATTGCTAAATGTTACCGGGCGTCCGCAACCCCCCCCAAACCCCAGAAACCCTAAAACCTTCAAGCACGAAGCAAAACCCCTGCACGGTGGACCTGAACCATGCTTCTTAGCTTGGGGATTCAGGGTATTCAGGGTATTGGGTTTGTTGCGAAACCCGTAACCTTGAGCCCTAAGCTTTCTGCAAGGATCTCGGATCCCAGAACCGGTGTTAAGGTGCGCGCGAAGACCCTTGGCGGCACAAACTAAAGTTTAGGATTACGGGTTTGGGGGTTTAGGGTTTAGGGTTTAGGGTTCAGGGTTCAGGGTTCAGGGTTTAGGGTTTAGGGTTTAGGGCCCTATATACCCTACGGCCCGAACCCTTGGCTTTCTGGGGCCTGGGGATCGTGGGCTTTAGAGTTTGGGCAGGCCCTGCCCTGCACCCCAAAGCTTCAGGTTTTTGGAACTCTGGCTCATGCTTTAGTGATCAAGTCCATCCGAACGTCACTCCTAATGCTTCAAAACCCGCTGAACTTCTAGATGACCAGGCATGGTGTCGCATTGCCCTTTTTGAGGTTGCACGGCATACCGCTGCGTAGCTCAGCTCACGTCTTTTGTTTTATGTTCGGCCTCGGCCCTCGGCATCTTTGTCGCAGACGTATGGAACACTGTCCATCGCAGGAGGGAACCGTAAGCAGGGCAGGGGTTCTCCTAAAGCATGATCCACTGTTTGAGACTCCTCGTCTTGACATGACGACTCCACACCCCAAGCCTCTAGGCTACGAAATGCATTTCCCCCCCCCCCCCCGCCGCCGCCTGATATGAAGTAGATGATCCGGGAAGGTGCCATCCCCGCCCAGCTCGGCAAGGGCAAGCCCTTCGTAGTACCACCCAGAGGAAGCGTGGCTAGCTTGGGCAGCACGACTGCACTGAGAGTTCTCATTGGTACAGGAGCTCTGGAGCCGCAAAGGCCATAAGTCCTAAAGTCCTTTGCCCTAGAGGCCTCAACTTTAACTAAGCCCTCTAGACCCTTGTTCCTGCATTGTGCTGCTTTCCATCTGAGGAGCCAGTGATTCTCAGATGGCCTTGCTCGAGGGTCGATGGCAGGAGGTCGGCTCGAACATTGCCTACAAGGTCTTCTTTGAGGGCACTGAGGGCACTTGGAAGGTCGAGAAGACCTGCCGACACTTCGTCCATACCTACAGTGCTTCGGCAGCAGAAGCCGGGCCGTGAAGTCCCAAACCCTGAACCCTGGATTTCTGAAAGGACATAGGCACCATAATTGGGTCTGAGTCACTTTGAGTGAGGTGCCTGTACGCCCTCTGGAAAGCAGCTTGCAAGGTCTGACAATCAAGCAGAACAAGGTCTTCTGGGGACTCTCCATGCGCTACTGGGCCAACTGCGACGGCGATTTCATCTGCTGGATGCTCGACGCATGAGCCAAAGCCCTAAACTTTCTAAACCCTAAGCGACCCGGAAACCATACCTCGAAACGTGGACTACTACTAGAAGAACCCTTTTTTGTCTTTGAGCCTTGAAGCTTTGAAGTTTACAGATATATATATATATATAGATGTATATACACATGTAGAGGAGCCGGTCATGCAGGTATGACACGAACAACGCCCTCGCCTTCACCTGGGTCCGGGTCCCTTAGGCGCCTTCGTGCCCCTCGCCTGCAACAGAAAGTTTTATCTCGATCCCGCACTCCGCCTTCCTAGAATCCTGACCTCCTGTGGTCCATCCATTTCGAAGCTATAAATTGCAGTGGACCAGACTTGAGCGTCCGAGCCTGGAAGGATTCGAGTCTTAAGCCCTCTCTCCCTACACTGTTACACGGTGGAACAAGAAAAGCATTGAGCTTGATGTTCGAGGCCTTCTTGACCTCGCGTGAAGTCGCTAAAACTGAAACATTCCTGTCCGGTCTTTGGGCCGCAAAACCCGAACAACCTAAGCCCCTTCCTGGGAGCACTTCGAGGAGACGGGCCTTGGTGGCCTCAAAAGTGCTAAAGCCTTTTTAAACCTGCCCCGGGCCAACCCAGCGCATCGCCGGCACCATAAAGCAACCCAAAGCAGATTCAGCCTAGCAGTAGCAGTAGTAGTAGTAGCAGTAGCAGTAGTAGCAGAAGTAGCAGAAGTAGCAGTAGTAGTAGCAGTAGTGGCAGTAGTCGTAGTAGTAGGAGGAGTACTAGGAGCAGTAGGAGGAGTGGGAGTAGTAGGAGCAATAGGAGTCGTAGTGGGTATAGTAGTAGCAGTAGCAGTAGGTAACTCCGCCCAGACCTTAAGTAGGTAATTCCTCCTAGACCTTAAGCCGAACTTCACAGGTCTGGTAGATGACGGCACAATGGTCGAGGCGCTTTTGTGGAAGTGCCGGCTGTTGGGGTGGGCGACGGAGTCGACTAACTAACATGAAAAGGCTACCCAGATACTGTGATACAACATTTTATTCCCCCTCAACAAGTGGGGCTGTTAGATTTTCAGGACAAAAATGTTGCCTTAAATATCAGGCCCGGGGAGGTAAAACCTATGCATGACTGATGAGCATGAAGCCCCTCAGAGGCCAAGAGAGCCTGCCTTGGAGCATGCGGAGGCCTTGGAGGATGAGCGAGAGGACGAGGTGTCTGGCGGTCTCCACTAAAAAAGAAACCCTAAAGGGTTTAGGGTTTAGGGTTTAGGGCTTAAAGCCCTAAACATTTTGAAGCACAGAATCAAGAAAGCATGCTTCGACTGAGCTGCCAAAAGTTTTTTGGGGTGTTGGGGGGGGGGTGGGGGAATGAAGGTTGCCGGCTTCAAGGCGGATGAGGACGCGTTGCTTGCCGGAAGCCCAGACGAAGGGACCATACACCCCTCATGGTTGAAGCTTGTTTTGAGGAACCAAAAGGCAGCCGCTGAAGGACTATTGTCGAAAATCATCATGACCATACGACCCTAAACCCTCATACCCTGAAACAGATGTCAATGTGAACCCTGAACCTTGAACTTTCAACCCTTAAGGCCCTAACTCCGGATCCAACATATCTTTCTCGTTTAGTTTTCTTGATTTGGGATGTGGTGCGGTTTCTGAGGCTGCCGGGCACAAGCAAGGCCGAGCTGAACGAGAGGATGGCGCCGAGGCACAGTCAAAAAAGAGCTTCCCTTGTGGTTAGTGTTGGGCCTTGAATTCAGGGTTGATAGGGTTTTGTGCTTGGGGTGTGGTTACGGCTGTTGTTGGGGTTTAGCTGAGGGTTTATAGGGTTTAGTGCTCTTCTTGTGGTGTGGTTATGATTGTTGTCGAGCTTTAGTTTTGGGTTTAATTATAGGGTTTCGTGCTATTCTTGGGGTGACTGTGGCGTTTGTGGTTTAGGGCTGGGGGTTCTTGACTCGTTAGGCCATTGGGTTGATTTGGGACGTACTGTGGGCCACCATGTTCTCGAGTAGAAGATTTTGGGCATTCCCAATCTCATGCCCTTTGAGACGTCGGGAGATGGATATCTTTTGTTTGGATCTCATTTCTGAGGTTTCAATCCGAAGGTTTTTTTCTAGATATCCGAAGAGATTCATTTTCTTTTATATAATGAATTTATCTCGAAGATATCTATTTTTCTTCTTCTTTCGAAATCATTCTTTCTTCTTTCGAAATCATTCTGAACGATACAAAGAAATTTAATATTCATTCTATTCTGAATATTAATTCTTAGGG